AACAACCTGTCATCAGTGGAAAGCGTAAACCTAAATCTATTTACAGTCAACTTAGAGCAACCGATTCAGAAAAACAAACGCCAACAACGAGAAAACCTGCACACCAATTCAGCAAAGTGTTTCTCCCCTGAAAATATCTCCATCCTCTTATCATTTTTATTAAATGTATAAAAAAAAATTATTTGCCCAAAGTAGTTTACAAGCTTTTTACAAGTCATGTTTTAAGTTTATGGTTTCCTCTTTAGCTGAGGGGGCTGACAACAAACATCAAAAGAAGATTAATGCTGGAAATAAAGATAAGAAAAAAAAAACAAGGAAGAAATTTTTCTAGACTGACAAGGTATGACTGGCTGTACTATTTTCTACACTCAGCAACAAAAGCAGAACTTGACAAAAACCCCAAACACAAACAACAACTAATTGTGACATCTAACTTCTCTAAAAGCATCACTTTTGGTGTCCTTCCATAGAAACGCTGGTAACATTACCAGCTGATCACTGAATTGTATCATCAAACAATGCGAGAGCTTAGTAGGCAAGGCCAGGGTGGGAATTTCTCATCGAGTGATTTGGAGTAAAAAGTAGCATAGTATTATGGTTTTTACACTAGAATATAGAGCAACACATGTCCAGCGATCTAAGTAATCCATTTAATGCAGAAAATCAATTCTACTGCTGCTATAATTAATATTATGGTTATAATAATGTCACCTAAAGCACTACTGTAATTTCAAAATGATCTATCACATCAACTAAAGGTATTTGAGTTTTTTTTTAAAGTGCTTATGATATATATAAAAAAAAAACTTTTTGCTGTTTAAATAGAAACACATGTGTTACAGATGTTTAGCCTTGTATGCTTGACGGACATATGCCACGGCAGCTGTAAATGTAAAACACTGTTATGTTAGTAAGATTAATGAGTGGCTTCTTTGGGCCCCACACAATGAGAGCCCATGTTTTAGGACTAGAGGCATTTCCAAACAGCTAAATTTGTCTTTCTGCTAAACAAGGGAGACCATGGGAGCCTATTTTTCTTGTCTCAGGCAGCCTACTGGCAGTGCACTATAACAGGTAAAGGCGGTTGGAATGTACAGCCATGTCACTCTGTTCTTGGTAAGTAAATTTGTGAATTACTTATGACATGCCATTAAGTGAGCTTTAAACCCTAGCAGCGGAATTCTTGGAATCTTGAAACAAAAAAGCGTTACCATGGATTGAGTTAAATATTGGAATCTTAAAAAAGGGGCCCAGTAACATACTTAGCAGCCTTGATGCGTAAAACGCAGACTGATTCACGAGAATGAAGCAAATAAAATGGAATGTATTACAAAACACGTAGTAGAATTCACTCTTTTGGGAAAGAAGTGGTATGTATGCAAGGTCTTTGGTCCACTGCCTGCTCCCGTATGTAGTTCATTGGGGCGTTCTCTTGTCTCAACACCAACAAGAAAATGTAGGTTAGCCATGTTTAAGAGCCACGCAGGTCATCCAGAAGATTTAAAAATGTTAAACTTAGAGCAAAGTTTAGGGCAGAATGATATCCCCATGATTTTTATGAATCTGGGGAACAAGTTTTCTGCAAGTTATGTCAGGATACGGTCGACTGGAAGCATACGAACCCGTGTGACGAGTCATTTTTTCTTAAAATAAGTGCATTTATTCTTGTATTAAGGAGGTAAAAGAGACATTTTTCCAGTGGAACAAGACAAGAGTAAAAATACTCATTCCATTGGCAAACTAGCTCATTTTACCTACTCAAATTAAGGGTAAAAACACTTAATTTAAGGAGAAGAGGGAAGCTAGCGCGAGCCACACACATCTGCCAACTCTTGAGAATTCAACATCGGCGGAAGCAAAGCGCGAATTAATTGAAGAATTTGTTGTCGTTTGTGTGGAATCAGACATTCCTTTAGAAAAAATGAGAAAGCTTTGTCCATTTTTGGAAAACGACTGTAAGCTAGTGGGTGCGCTGCCAGAACACGTAAGCAGCGCCTTTAAAACCCACCTATCCCAGGTGTTCGATTACCGGTAGCATATGGCGGTTATGCAGAAGAAATTGCAAGGGTAAAAAAAAATATATGTTGCGGTCAACAAAACAACTGGTGCTAGCACACCACAATAAAGGAAGTTATTTAAAATATTGTTTTTGAATGTCTTTGCATGACTTATAATATTTTAATATATTTGTGAGTCAGGCAGTTTTTTTGGCAAAAAGGTTTTGTAAGGCGAACTGTATGGTTAGTGATTATTTGTGGATTATTGGTGATAATCTGTAGGTATTCTGATCCTAATGAAAGGGTTAATAAATATAGTTGGGGAAAAAAACGTGAAATAGAGAAAAAAATGAAAAGTTGTTATACAAAATGATGAATACGGATAAAGTGAAATTTGGAGAAAATAGTAAACGGAATTTGGGAAAAAATAAAAGTGGATTTCATAGAGCATGACTGAATGAATTTCATAGATAAACTAAATATTCATCTTCGAAAAGGGATATACATCACAACACGCTTTCCAACTGATAGTGTTTACCTGGTCCTTTAAATATTTTCTGCACCTTCCTGATAAGAAAAGCACCGATGTACATCATCGCCATTTGCTGGCTGAACCTACTCACATGTTCATCGGGCTGGCAGCTCCAGCAGCTCTTCACCAGCTTCAGTGTTGCATTTCGAGTGCTGCAGCCTGATCCCTTTAGGCATCTGAAATTTTCTGCCTTTTTCCCCCACCCATGATTTATGACTTTTTCTCTTCCTTTCCACACCTCAACTGGAAAATCTACTTTCTTGTTTACTCATAATGCATATGCGCAATACAATACACTTAATCATGTGATCTTGTTATGGTTAATATAAAAAAAATGCTTAATTTTATTAACAAAGCGTACCAAAGTTTTGAACACATACCTACTATATTATAGGCCAGAGAGGGCTTCCCTATTTGATCGGAAAGCCTTCTGGTGGATAAATTAGAGAGGTAATTAAAGACTAAACCCCTGACAATGAGCCAATGTAGGGTTGGGAGATGAATCAAAAGGATTAATCAAATTTTCTGTTTAATTTTTGGATAACTGGGATTTTTGTTGGGTCTTTTTTCAACCATCAATCTACTTCTGGTGCTTCCATAGCTCAGAGTGACATTGTTCATCACTTTTGTTGTCAGATGTACTGTGAAAACTGATAAACTAGTTTACTGTGTGATAACACTTGATTCTAACATTTGCGATTATATTATTGTTTGTTGTGAAACATGACTGTTTTAAAGTCGTAGGGAAGCGGCTGTTCCAACCGTTGCATTTCTGAATTCTCCCGAGTGGTGCACGACTTTACACGGGTGAAAAAGTGAATCTGATTGGTCGTTTATCAAGGGGGCGGGATTTTTGTGGCAGAAGGTTCGCGAGCAAGTTTGTTTGTGGCTGGTTTCTCTGAAACATCTTGCTAACCAGTTTGCTACTTAGTGCTAGCAGGTTTCCAATGGGAAATTCCATTGGAACCAAGTAGCACTAAATTGGTGACTTAGAAACAACGCTGTCAAGGAACGCTATGGACAGAGGAAACATGCAAGAGGAGGAGAGTTTTGTGTCGGAGGTCGTGGATGAGTCTCCTCCGTCATATATTTTTTATTTAGAGGAGGAAAGCGGGGACGAAGATGTTGTGGAAGAGGACGCCAGGGCGGCAGAAGCTTGGTTTGGTGTAGAAGGCTTACAGCCGTACATGTTTGAGCCCTTGCCTTGCAACGCTGCCAGTTCTGTTAGCTCTACGCCTGGTGAAGACACAGACGTCCACCCCCATGAACACTGGGACGGAACTCAATTGGAAAGGAAATGATTCCTATTTCTTATTTCAACCGTTGCGTACATTAGCTGAAACTGAAAAGAGAAGGATACAAAATGATTAATTCATTGATTTGTAAGCGGCATCACCCAGCCTTGGACAACCCTTTGGTTTTAGAACATAAGATGATTACATACCAGAAGAGCAACATTTAGAGAAGCCGGTTAAAAACAAACGGATGAAGCTGGAAATAAAGATATTTAACTGGTTGTACAGGTTTGTCTTTCTCACCAGGTTTACATCCATAAGTGTTATTTAATAGGTTTTTTGTATTCAGGCACCTGTGTGTGTGTGTGTTTATCTGCAATATCTGTAAATACTCTATTTCAAATGCTGTAAATAATCCAAACTATATTCCATATTAACTAAAACAAGACCACAACCATCTCTTCCATTCTTATGCTAAATAATTCAAAAGAGCCACATCACATATCCCGCCTCATTAGCATTGACCTTTTTAAGCTTCATCTGGACTCAATCACTTCTCTACAAATAGGGTTAGACAAGCAAGTAAAGATGGTGACAGGCAGCAAGGCTGAGCTTCAGCTCCAAACCAGAGCCTGTTTAGACACATATGGATGCTATTTGACCAAATGACCAGATGTTGATTCCCCAAACATGTTTATCCTGCCAGACACCGTTGTTGCACGTAGTTCCAAAAAAGATTCTGTACAAAAACCATAAAAAAAGCAGCAAAACTGGAAAAGTCTGAGTCACTAAAGACACAAGGGCCTCCCAGAGAGCCAAAACACATCCTCTAATTTTGTTTATCATAGAAATGCAATGAAAAGTCACTTTTTTCAAGCTGAGCTCTTCATTTCCACTGTTGCTGTAAGGAGTGCCAAGAACTCAGAGTGAGCAAGCAACCACTCTGCCAATAAGCATTTTGCATTTATCCGAGTGGGGCAGGCAACACAGAATCAAGTCCAACAAGGTCAGTCAGGATAATTACTGAAGACAAACCGACAGGTTTTCTCAACACAACAAAACAAAGACTGTTAGTCACGTATAAAAAAAGCTACGTGGCCCATATGCTTTCTGAAGAAACCATGTCAGTGTTCGCAGATACACTTTTTATCATCTACTTAAAATAGCAAGAATTCACATTATTTTCAGTACAAATGGGTGTCTGTATGTGTGTGTGTGTGTTTGTAGGCGGGTTACCTGAGGTTAGTGTTTTGGCTGTCCGTGGCCACACGGGAACCATTTGAACTTGGGCTGCTGGAGAAAACAAGAGGACAGAAGAAAAAAAGAAAGAGTGCAAGTTAAGAAGACGAAGCAAGTGATGCGAATAAAGAATAAGGATGGGTTTAAGAGAGAAACAGAAAAAACAGATGTGACAAAGGGGAAAATGAATAAGAAAAACAGAATAAATGAAAAGAAAAAGGAGGAAAAAATACAGGGAAGCAGAGAAGCACATAGAAAGATAAAGCGGGTCAGAAGAAAAGATGGACAAGATGACATGAAAGTAAAGACAGACATTCAGCAAAGAGATCAGAAGAGGAAAAAAGAAAATCATTAATGAGATGAATAAAGTATTTGAATCTCAATATTTAGAATTGCTTTGATCCACATTATACAAACCAGGAACCGTCTTTTGTCTCTTAAAGTGACGATAAAATAAGAGTGGAAAATATTTGGCGCTTACAATCATTGAGTGGGAATATAAAACCAGACCAAATTCCTGAATATGTTCCAGACTCAGATACACAGAGATCAAAGAATGCTCAGGTCAAACTATAACCATCATAAAGATGTAAAAGTAGTAAAATAACTGCTGTTGGGAGAAAATAATTTGTCATTTTATTTATTTGCTTCTGCAAATAATTTGACTATTAAAAAGGAACTAAGAAGTTGCAATCTTGGGAGGTTATTTATTGTTTTGATGAGCTGGACTGGGAACCCATCTAAAGGTTGCAGGAGGCCGATTACCTCGAGTGCAGGGTTGTCTTCAGGTCACCCTTCAAAGTTTTTGCAGGATTTTAGCCTGCGGACTGATATAACCATGGAAGACTGTTGATTTCAGCCTTTCCTAAACCAATACTGTGCTTACTTAGACTCATTAACTTGCAGAAACATCCACAGATGACCAACTTTATGCTGTTTTTTTTCTTGGCTGAATCCAACAGATTGTTTTCAAAGCGTTCCAGTTTTTTCAGGAACTCAACCAAAATCCTGTTTTGCTCCAGTGGCCAAACAGGTGAGCAGCAGATATTATATGCGTTCCTTACCCTCCCCCCCTCTAGGCACAGGGGGGAAAAGTCAAATATGGGTCAATGTTCAGCGTAGAATCAGCCCTCCCCTTCATGTTTTTACATATCCGAGTATTCAATAATGTTGCACTGATCTTAAATGTCTCCTCTGTGTCTGAACATGTATGAAACATACTCACTTGAGAACTAGATGCAGATTAGCAGACAGTCGTGGATCTGTGAACTGTGTTGTTCGATTGTTGTGGTCAACAAAGTACACGCGGCCGGTGGCAGTGTTTCTGATCTCCCAGCCTGGAGGAAGTGGCCCCAACTCCTCACAGTTTACATTGCTTAAGTCCCTTAGAGCAAAAAAAGAAAAAAGAGACATAGAGCAAACATGCAGATTAAAAACAGGACCTCGGACCAAATGAGTCAGAATATATTTATTCGGGGGAAACTGAGCAAAAATGCTTAGAAAAGTTACTACGGATTGTTAAATATTTATCACTTTTACAGCTCAGATTTGACACCTTTGTAGGTTCTTTGCGTGACACCGTGCACTGCAACCTGAGAACATGCTTCATGAAGTTTGAAGGTATTCTTTTAACATTCGAAAAGCAAACTTTATTAAGATAAAAATGACATGTATTCACCTTGGTCTGCATTCCTTATTCTTCCCACTCTTTTTTCCTGTTTATCTCAAACATACTGATCTGGGACAACATTTTGGTCATTTTGTTTTTGTGTGTGAAGTGAGGACACAGTCAGAAGTGAAACACTGAATTCCTTTCCTCCTCACATTTACCGAGTCATTCCAGCAGCTCTGTCTAAAATGACTGAAGCCAGATGTTGTTGCTGTGGGTTGGATGTTGTCCTCATGCTCAGACACAGCCAAAAATGCAGAAGAACAGTTCTGAATGTAATATTTAGGGAATTTGGTAACAAACTATTAAGTGTTAGTGAAACAGCATGACTGAATGCACCGTTGAGTATCAAACTGATTTAAAAACCCTGATTAAAACTGAACTAAAAAGCAATTTCGGAAAACAAAAAAAGCAACAAGATGAGAAATGGCACCTGCTCCGGACCAACCAAGTCCAGTTTCCTTTTCAATATTAGCTTCAAAAGCTAGCGAATGTATTTAACATGTTTATTCACATCAAATACAACAATGTTCAGAGCAATAGTTTCACTATACTCTTAGGCTTCCCTTTCTATAGAAGGTACCCCTGGTTCAGTGCTGGTATCTTTTTCTGTTCTGAGTCTGGTTTAGCATGAGGTATCATCCTGTAGCAAGGAAGTTGTTTATCACCACTGTCGCAACCTACTTGCTCAGGAGGAGGGATTGCTTAAGAGTCGATGACTAGAGGCATTTGGCTGGTCCTTTTAGGTAAACGGACCAACTGGCATCATTTTTGTATAAAAGGTCATGTTGAACAGGATTGTAAGATTGAGATAAACTAGAATACACAGAAATTTATATGTACCTTAACTGGTTATGTAGTAGATGGTATCTGCGCCAAATTGTAAAACAACATTCTAAGATTTTTATGCTCATATATGCAACACATAATCGGCATACAGACAGAAAGATAAAGGACGTACCTGGGAACTCGGGGGTCATGCCAAGTGCTGACTCCGGTCTGTGTATGGAGGAAGTACACTTGGCCCTGTTGGGTTGTTCTTTGCTCTGAAAAACAAATTCATTTGATTAGATTTTATTTTTTTATTGTGCAAAAAGGAGCACCTCACTCTCAATCTGCAGGTTTACTAGTGGTTCCTAGAATTTCTAAAAGTAGAATGTGAGGCAGATCTTTTATTGGTCATGCTCCTCTCCTGTGGAACCAACTACCAGTTTTAGTCTGTGAGGCAGACACCCTGTCTACTTTTAAGGGTAGGCTTAAAACTCTCTGTTTTGATAAAGCTTATAGTTAGAGTGGCTCAGGTTATCATGAGCTACATCAATAGTTATGCTGCTATAGGCTTAGACTGCTGGAGGACATAGGGACCCCTATTTCATCATTCTGCTTCATTCTATCTCTATTCTCCCACTCTGCAGAATCTTAGTTTAATCTCTAAAGTTATGCTCTCTCTCCTTTTTCTCATAGTAGCTTTGCCTTGTCTGTTCCCGTTTGGCTATGACTCCATCCTGGAGAGAAATATCAGTATGTTGATGTGCTGCACCTTTGCTTATAGATGTTTGTGATTTCCTCTTTTTTTTCCTCAGAGTAGTCCTGTTTCTCTGATTGTGACTGGCTGGATGTCCTCTCTTCGTCCTCTGGCATGGGATCTGGCTCGGAGCTTGTCTGCCTGGCTGTGTGTTTTACTGGACGGTGCCGCCTTTTACAGCTGCTTTTTGTGTCTCTGCTTCTGTCTCCTTGAACCCCAGTCGGCCTCGGCAGATGGCCGCTCACACTGAGCCTGGTTCTGCCGGAGGTTTCTTCCTGTTAAAAGGGAGTTTTCTCTCTCCACTATCACTACAAGCATGCTTAGTGTGAGGGATTGCCTTTGCGTCAATGCAATATACTGGTTTTCCTTAGATAGAAAACTTCGAATCAATTTCACTGTATGATCTGGTTGAACTGTAAAGTGCCTTGAGATGACATGTGTTGTGAATTGGCGCTATATAAATAAACTGAATTGAAAAACTGAAAAAAATTAAGCAAACTTTCAAGTAGTTGATAAGAAATTTGCTGTGTAGCCAAACAACCATTGGCCAAAAGAAGATTGAGAGAAGGGGGTCAATTTTTAAAACCTTTGGGACTCTGTTGACTAACACTTTATTAAGGTATGTGCCTTCTGGCATGATCAACTCGCTCCTCCCCAGCCCTGGGTAGGCCAATCCCAGAGGACTTGGAGAAAATTAACACAGCTTCTATACTATAAGGTTACTAGATCAATCCTTGGTGAGGTTAGATAAGAAAAAAGAAAAATTATCATTTTATATCAAAACCTGAGGGAGGAGGCTACATGCAGCCTAAATTAGGATCAGGGCAGCCAAAAGATGATGTTTGTGATATAAAAGATGGGAGAGCTGAAATATGCAGTGCATGTGGGAAGAAAATGCTCCCATCACTGACTGCTCTCTGTTAACCGTTCAATAGGAATTGAAAAAATGAAAATCACAAAGGAGTCCTTTTGATCCTGTCCAGTGAATTTCCACCTTCCATACCCTGATCCTAAAAAAGCTAAACATTGATGAAAGCATGGGTTGACAGCGATACACAGCTTTACTTATGAATATTGTAATCAATGCATAATGCAAGAAAAACATGCAACAAGAAAAATATGATACTATTGTTGCAAATGACAGTACTGATAAGAAATAACCCATATTTGACCATTCCTTGCTATGAAAAACATAGATGTTAACCCTTAGGGGGGTATTGTGCATGCAAAAATAAATTGCATGTTATTATTAGTTATTATAACCATAATGGAAAAACTTTATATTGCAATGACTGCTTCAGTTTAATATCTTATGCAGTTCTAGTAACTGCTTTTTTTATTGTTGTTTTAATTATATATATATATATATATATATATATATATATATATATATATATATATATATATATATATATTAGATTACATCTAGCCAATAATAAATTGTTAAAAATATCTAATAACTGTCAGAAATGGGCATTTTCAGCTTTAAGCTTGGCAGAAAATCTGCTTCATGGGTGCACTGTTATTGTATACGTATTCAAAAGCTAATCCATCACAGCAACCCCCAGCCCAGCTTCCTACTGGCACCTCTCGTTTCCTTATACCTCTCCCCTCTTCCCCTTGTTGCACATTGCCTCCGTTTCTGTCTCGGCACACCCAGAGGGTTAGTTCAGAGAGTTCAGCTGAGGGAGACAGCTCTTAAGCTGCTGGCCATCAGTGACTCACTTTACCCTACCTCTAAAAGCCTCGCTGGACACTCATGGACCTTCCAGAGGAGGAAAAGTGCCCAAAAGGGTCATTCTGAAACACTGACATATAGAAAACGATCTCTGAGGGTATTGTGGTTTGGACTGTGGCTTGATCCTGAAAGTGCACATTTCTGAAGAAAGAAAAAAAATCCAGTGTTGCTAAATAAGTTCCCAGCATGCCGCTTTTTCCAGTGTGTTTGCACTGTATAAGAAAAGCAATGCTGAACAATGGAAAGCACCTAATCTTTATGAAGAGAAAACAAAAGTCTTCGACGAACGGTTTAAAAGTTGATATCAATATGAGCAAACTTTATGGTCCGTTTTGAGTATTTTTGAAACATCTACAGGTGCTGGTCATAAAATTAGAATATCATGAAAAAGTGGATTGATTTCAGTAATTCCATTTAAAAAGTGAAACTTGTATATTATATTCATACATTACATACAAACTCATATATTTCAGATGTTTATTTTGTTTAATTTTGATGATTACAAATGACAACAAATGAAAATCTCAAATTCATCATATCAGAAAATTAGAATATTGTGAAAAGGTTCAAAATTGATGGCCCCTGGTACCACACTCTAATCAGCTAATTAACTCAAACCACCTGCAAAAGCCTTTAAATGGTCTTTCAGTCTAGTTCTATAGGCTACACAATCATGGGGAAGACTGCTGACTTGACAGTTGTCCAAAAGACGACCATCGACACCTTGCACAAGGAGGGCAAGACACAAAAGGTCATCGCTAAAGAGGCTGGCTGTTCACAGAGCTCAGTGTCCAAGCACATTAATAGAGAGGCGAAGGGAAGGAAAAGATGTGGTCGAAAAAAGTGTACAAGCAAGAGAGATAACCGCACCCTGGAGAGGATTGTGAAACAAAACCCATTCAAAAATGTGGGGGAGATTCACAAAGAGTGGACTGCAGCTGGAGTGAGTGCTTCAAGAACCACCACACACAGACGTATGAAAGACATGGGTTTCTGCTGTCGCATTCCTTGTGTCAAGCCACTCTTGAACCACAGACAGCGTCAGAAGCGTCTTGCCTGGGCTAAAGAGAAACAGGACTGGACTGCTGGTGAGTGGTCCAAAGTCATGTTCTCTGATGAAAGTAAATTTTGCATTTCCTTTGGAAATCAAGGTCCCAGAGTCTGGAGGAAAAGAAGAGAGGCACTTCATCCACGTTGCTTGAAGTCCAGTGTAAAGTTTCCACAGTCAGTGACGGTTTGGGGTGCCATGTCATCTGCTGGTGTTGGTCCATTGTGTTTTCTGAGGTCCAGGGTCAACGCAGCCACATACCAGGAAGTTTTAGAGCACTTCATGCTTCCTGCAGCTGACCAACTTTTTGGAGATGCAGATTTCATTTTCCAACAGGGCTTGGCACCTGCACACAGTGCCAAAGCTACCAGTACCTGGTTGAAGGACCATGGTATCCCTGTTCTTAATTGGCCAGCAAACTCTCCTGACCTTAACCCCATAGAAAATCTATGGGGTATTGTGAAGAAGAAGATGCAATACACCAGACCCAACAATTCAGAAGAGCTAAAAGCCACTATTAGAGCAACCTGGGCTATCATAACACCTGAGCAGTGCCACAGACTGATCGACTCCATGCCACGCCGCATTGCTGCAGTAATACAGGCCAAAGGAGGCCCAACTAAATACTGAGTGCTGTACATGCTCATACTTTTCATGTTCATACTTTTCAGTTGGCCAACATTTCTATAAATCCTTTGTTTTTATTGGTCTTCAGTAATATTCTAATTTTCTGATATGATGAATTTGAGATTTTCATTTGTTGTCATTTGTAATCATCAAAATTAAACAAAATAAACATCTGAAATATATGAGTTTGTATGTAATGTATGAATATAATATACAAGTTTCACTTTTTAAATGGAATTACTGAAATCAATCTACTTTTTCATGATATTCTAATTTTATGACCAGCACCTGTATATGCACCCTCATAAAAACTAACAGTTTGAGGAGATATTTCAGTCAGTAGTTCTCGACTAAGCCAATTTAGAAATATAATGAGTCATCTTGGACATGAGTAGGTGTTTAGCAAGCGTGTCAAAGGAAATACTTTTTCTGGGTTGCAATATTTTCAGGAGCCGGTGCGAAATCAGACCTGGTACCTAATTAGTTCTCATCGGCTCATCAAGATAGTCAAACTTTTATTGTATTTTTTACCCCAAGGGTTTTGTATGGAATATATTAAAATGAGAGCCTTTTTATAGATACTTAAAGTTATACTCTTTATTAATGCCCTATTGTTGCAACAGAAGCAACAATGAAAGGCTAATAAAAAAAAATTCCCATTAGAGTATAGGTTTGTATCAATAGTATCAATAGCACCGATGCTGTCTCTGAATATAATTCTAATTTGGTGTGGCATAGGTACTAAAGACAAGCGCTGTTTGCATTTTTCTGCTGTCATAACTGGATTTCTGCATAATTCGCACATTAAACTAATAATACCTCAGACAACCTTGAAATATCTTTTAAATTGTGTTGTTTAGTTTGTTTATTTTTGCATTTATTTGCACACTTTTTAATCAGCATCTCTGACTCTGTTTAGAAAGTATGTTCCATGTTGAGATTGAAAATGGTGAGTTTTTCATGTTAATAAAAATGTTTTTATGCCTTTGGTTATTTGTCATCTTTATTTCCATGGTATCGAAAAGGGCATCAAGTTTAGATATTTTCCTTGCTATCAATATCTAATTTGAAAATGTAGACGATCCTTGTAGTGAAGCATTAAGTTTTAAGGGAGGCGTTTAGATGAGTTTGGTAAAATCCTAACAAGCCATTAGAAAGGAGATTTGGTAGAAATTAGGAGCATACTGATACAGAAATTCATCACAAACAGGGTTGAACATATTGCAATTTTGTTTTGATTTGCCTTTGAACTAGCCACAAGCATGCACAAGATACCAGATTTCCAAAAAATATGCTCACAATTAGAAACGTACGTCACTAAATGTACCTGTAATTGTGATTTCGCTGAAACCATGGATGAGTCAAGAGGTGTTTTAGGGAATAACTTTGGTTCTTACCGTAGCCCTCAGGCAGATCAGGAGGAGTATGCAGATGTGTTCGACTCATGTAGTTACGATGCCGCTGCGACCGAACCCTTCTTTCCTGGTTTCTCTGTTCGCCTGGAGGTCCGCTGGCAACAGCCCCGTTAACGGGAGTCATTACTGGTGTGTTTTCATCCACTACGCAGCTCAGTGGTCGCCCTGATGGGCTGGAGTACTCTGAAGCTGGCCTGGAAAAGAGAAGAGAGCGTGTTCACTTAGGCGTTTAAAGGGCTTCAAGTCGTAGGGAAGCGGCTGTTCCAACTGTTGCATTTCCCAATTCTCCCGAGTGGTGCACGCTTTACACGAGTGAATAAAGTGAATGTGATGGTCGTTTAACATGGGGGCAGGGTTGTTGTGGCGGAAAGTTTGCAAGCAAGTTTGGTTGTGGCTGGTTTCTCTGAAGCATCTTGCTAACCAGTTAGCAACTTAGTGCTAGTAGGTTCCCAATGGGAAATTCCATTGTGACAAAGTAGCACTAAATTGGTGACTTAGAAACGACACTGTCAAGGAACGCTATGGACAGCGGAAACATGCAAGAGGAGGAGAGTTTTGTTTTGGAGGTTGTGGATGAGTCTCCTCCGTCAAACATATTTTACTTAGAGGAGGAAAGCGGGGATGAAGATGTTGTGGAAGAGTCCATCCCCGTGAACACTGAGACGGAACTCAATGGGAAAGGAAATGATTCTTATTTCTTATTTCAACCGTTGCGTATATTAGCTGCGACATATGAATAAAGATGCTATGACTGAAAACATTTGATTGACAGATGACCGTTGATATTTGATTTGCTGAATTTAGGTGTTCAGGCTGACGTATAACTAACTGGCCTGCATAAAAAAACTGAGGAAAAAAAACAGATTTTAAGACAGTATATTTTTTTTTTATAGAAATTTTCTAGCTTTTCTGACAATATCGTCTGATAAAGAGTACATTTATATACATGTTTAAGCCAGAATGATTTGACATTTGAAAATGACTTCCCTACAAGTTTAATAGCACCTGTATTTAAACTAGGTTTTAATTCCCCTTAACAGGATAGATGCAAAATTAATTACAGAGAAGTGATTGCTAACATGCTATCTATATCTGTCATTGAAACTAAACAGTTTAATACAAGTAAACAACATACATTAAAGCTCTCACTGGTAGGGTAATTTATTTGATGATACTAATCTATACACATTAGGGGTGGAACGGTTCACAAAATCCATGGTTCGGTTCGATTCACGGTTTTGTGGTCACGGTTTTCGGTTCGGTATATGTTGATTGTTACGCCGAAATCCCAAAAAAATTAATGAAATTAATGAAAAAATCCCCCAAAAAATAATGGATTGACTGACGGAGTATGAGGGATTTCGGGGTTAGCATGACATGTTGGTCATGTTGCTGTTAGCATAAACAAAACGTGTTGCACAATGCTTGCACAGTGTTGCACTTTTATCCACAACTTTCTTTCCGACGTCATCGTAGGTCACTCTAAATGCAAAGTGGTCCCATACAGCAGACCTATAAAGTGCTGCTGGCGCGTCTCCCAACTCCTGTTCTTTCCCATTCGCCATACAACAACTGATTTTTTTCCCTGCTACACCCGGCTAAACTGCCTCGCTTCTTCTTCTTCTTGTTTACTACTGGTGGTTGGCTTTGGTCGCAGTACCGCCACCTTCTGCTCTGGAGTGTAAACGCTTCGCCTATGAGAAAATGGAGCAGCGCATGAACCGAACGCAACACACGCGAACTGAACCGAGACAGTCGAACCGAACGGTTCGGACTGTTTTCATAAACCATCCCATCCCTAATACACATATAATGATATAAAACATTAAAAACCCAGACAGAGATTAGATGTGTTAAATTTTTAAGTGTTCAGTGATGTCAAATATTATATATGTCAGATAAAAAACAAACAAAATAAAAATCTTTATGACCTACAGCCTGTTCCAACATGTTACTTAAAAAAAACAGATATGTGATAAGAAGAAACAAACAGAGATGGGCTATTCTATGTGTCTGTATGTATAGCAGTCTAACCACCGTCTGGCCAGAGTTGCTGACGCCTCGGCTATCTAAAGCCTGAGACTCAGAAATCTTTTAAACATATTTTTCTCCCACCCATTTCCTCCATCACCGTGCTCGTTTCTCCCCACCACTGCCTCCGCTTTTCTCTCCTGTTTTCATTCATCCACTGGTTTCTGCACCCAAACCGATCTCTCCTGTTCCCCAATTTTACTTCAAATTTTTTTTTATCCATGGATCAAACACTCTCTTCTTTTTTTATTCCCACCTGCTCTCCATAAATTTTCACTCATTGTTTCACCCTGTGACCCAATTTCTCACCATTACTCACTCTTAAAAAAGGGTTTTGCTATACTTCTCAGTACCGATCACAGTACAACCGGCTGAGAAGGTGCTGAGGTTTATTTGTTTGCTTCCCTAATGGCTCCACTGATACGGGCCAAGAAGGAAGGCGACAGCTGATCTTGCAGCGAGTAAAGCAGGACTGCCGGACTGACTGGCTGGCTTTTTTAGTTGCGAACATAGATGTCTGCTTTGTGAGAGTACATACGACCCCCTTTGGAGGTGGAGGGACGGAGGAAACTACAGCACTCATTACAAACAGACTGTTATTGTTGCACTTTTAAGAGGAAGCGTTTTTTATTTCCCCTCTCTATGAAGGGAAGTGGGAAAAGTACATTTAGCATTACTATAGTTCATTAGGGAAACAAATGCATTTTAGATGTATCATTTTGGTCAACATAAATTAAAAAAAAATCTCTAAAATAATAATACATATGGCATGTACGTACCTGGTGGGTCTCTCCCATTGTGTGGTGCGAGTGATGTGGTTTAGGTACTGTATCCTTCCAGACGCGGTCCTCCTCTCCTCCCACCTGTTCATGCAGCCATTAAAACACACCGGTAAACTTATCGCCATCACAACATAAAAAAAAAATAAATACTTCAGACTGCATAGTTACCCTAACAAGTGAAAAGGTGATATTTTTTAACCATTACACAGATTCTGATATTTAAAATGGTGATTATTCTTTAAAATATTTTAAAAAAAGGGAGGGGAAAAAACGGGTCTGCTTCTAATTTTATTTCATTTCTTCTTCTGCTAAAGGATTAATGATATTTCCATGTGGTTTATTTTAAGCAGTTAGAAAAGTTTAATGTTTTTCTGATGATTAAATATCTAAGGAAAGCCTATTACTGACCCGTCGGGTAAATCATTGTCAAACAGACGACTGCAGTCTACCACTGGTCCGCCTGATCCAATGCGATCTCTGGACTGAAGACTCACTTCATGGGGAAAAAAAAAAAAAAAAAAAAAAAAACAGGAGAACATTTACAAACCACTTTGCTCAATTAGAAAATACAATTACATTTGTAAAATGTAAAAAATTAAAACAGATAAATGTTAGAGACTGATGCATAAATAGCAATATGGTTCAAATTTGAGTTGCAACTAATAATTATTTTGTGAATCGATTAAAAAATTATTTTCAAGGAACTTTTTGCTATCTGATAATTAAAGAATTAAACCAGGTCAAAAACATTTTGTTTTTTTTATGCAAAATATTGATATATATTTTTACAATATTGGAATAATTACTGCTCTAAGTAGGATGCTCTGTAAGCTACAGGAAGGTTTTAGAGTTTCTATACTCTAGTTAATAATTGATTACTAAATTAGTTGACAATTATTTCAATGATCTGATGAATTGTTTCACCCTTAATAAAAATTCTTTCATTTTCCCGAAGTAAAGCCAAAGAAATTTTCTAGAGCCCATTCAAAAACTATAGGTGCAACAAAAAAAATGACTCATGAGCAACAATAAAGAAAAAAAAAATACTCAAAAAGATAAAGATATAAAGCAAAATCTTTTCCTCAAAAAGAAATGCATGCCAATCTATAAAGTTTTACTTTTTAAAGAGCATACACGATGTGTTCTGTGCAGCTCTAATCTGCAACGCCAAGTTTCACTATTGCTCAGACTGCACCGCTAAAAAGGTTCTGTATCAGGGTTCTGTTGGACCCAGCCAGGCAGCAAAACCAATTTTTATTTTGGTCAGGAAAGAGTGTTGCTGATTATGAGGGGTTAAAAATACTGAAAAAAATAGACTTGGTATAAGCAAATGAAAACCTGTATGATGGTACGACTGAGCATTAGGGTTAGAGATTTTTTTATTTTGAGAATAAAGTCGTAACATTACTAGAAAAAAGTTGTAACATTACAAGAATGAAGTCATCATACAACAACCAGTTTCAGAAAGAAAGCTTGAAGCTCCGACCAGCATATGATGGTCGACCAGCTCCACCAAACACCAACCTGAGTCCACTTTGACATCCTGTCCAAGTTGATGCTGGTGCTAAAAGATTTTGCTTATTTGTCAAACCAGAGCCAAGGTATAAATTCACATGATGCTCGACATTCCTCAGTTTAGGGAAGAAAGTTCTTCTTGTAAGAGTCCTCATAAAATCCAACATGTTTCTTGTAATTTTAGGACTTTATTCTTGTAATATTCCGACTTTATATTTGTAATATTGCGACTTTTTTCTCGTAATTTTATGATTATTCTCTTTTTGACTTTTTTCTTGTAATTTTAAGACTTTGTCGTAATTTCAAGGCTTTGTTCTCGAAATAGAAGGAAAAAAACTCTTGCCTGGCCCCAATACTCCATCGTATGATGAACCTTAATAGACGGTGATGCTATAAAAAAAAATTACTGACTATATTCACTGTGGCTTCAATTTAAATTACACAGTCTTTTCTAAAAGCATATTCATATAACGTAAACTGAAATAAGAAGTGCACATAAGTGAAACATAAGTGGTCCTTACCCACTATCTGTCCTCTAACAGTGTCGTTGTCGTTGGGGCCCAGCCTGTTCAGGTCCAGTCTCTGATCTGCAACCGACACAAAGAGTTTACAAAGTGTTTCCAAAGGAACCTGAAATGAAACAATTATTAATCCATTACGGAAGCACAAATATTTAAACATTAACCATGTAGTGCTTCATCTAAATGAGGAAGGTCATCAAATCTGAGCGAAATATGAGGAAGGAGAGATAATAAACAGGTCAAATGCACATTTAACTGTTCAGCTTGTATCTTCACATAAAAATATTTTGATTTTTTTTTTTTTTACAATTCATAAATGTTATATTGGAGAAGTTTCATAGACATAACGACAAAAACTTTTGTGTTTTCAGAGTCATCTACCAGGGGCATTCCTGGCAGAGTTTCTGAGCTTTTCACATTTTTTATATCGAAATTATGTAGTTTCGTATGTTGCTAAAACTTATTTTTCCTCTATCAATATGCCTTTAAATTAAACTTTCTTTAGTATTTGCTGATACTGAACAATTCAGATTATAAGATAGATGTGTAGTCCTATTACCTGCTGGTAAAGAAAAGGCGTGTCAAACCATTTCTGTCACCAGAGGAGGTTTGGTCGGTCGAGTGTTTTATTGTAGGATAGATACAAACTTTCTCATGAGCAAAGTAAATAGCAGTAAGTACTACCGATCTAAATAATTCAAATTAAAAGGAGCATTCAGGTTTGTGTGTCTGAAAAGTGAGAGACATAAATGGACAGGGGCGGAGTATGAGAGGGGGGGACACGGTGGAGGAGAGGCTGAACCAGTGGAGGACACAAAAAAAGAGTGAGGGAGAAAAAGTAAAGTTCTCTGAAATCCAACAGCAAAACTGATTGGATTTTTTACGTCTTCGGTCTGCCACAAACATTTTATATGCTTGGAAAAAGCTGTTTTTATTTATATGAAAATCCCACACATTCCTATAGGTTGTGTGTGTGAGAGAGTGAATGTATGTTGATGTGTTTATGTGTGCACAAATGCATCTGTTCCGGATATGTGTCTAGACTAAACAGGGATGGTCTGAGCCTTACATGGCAGGAGCGGTAATGAGATTTCTTTCTGAAATTAGAGAGGAGGAAAAAAGAGAAAATGTACTGACCTTTAACCACAAGCATTCCCCAAAATGATTCCTCTCAGCGCTAAAAACTTACTGTTGCTACAGACTAAACTAAGCCACAGGAAATGTGGACCCATATGTAGACCTAAACGAGCTATTTGACAGAGGTTTTATTTAGCTTTTTCACACCGTGTTCCAAGATGAACATCTCTGTGTGGAGAAATGAGTGGATGCTGGTGAATCTGAAGGTAAACAACTGAGCTCAGGCAAAATGCTGCCAAACTTGAAAAAAAAAAAGACTATATTCTGTCTGAAAAAGGAAACAAAAAACAAAGAGCTATGCATGAGTTTACATTAGATGTTAAAAATTTATTCAAATAATGAGCTTTGACAAAACCAAAGCAATTCTATTAATGTCTTAAGGTTTTTTGAGGGTTATTTTATTGAGAGCACGGATGTGTCTGTCTGCAGGATAAAGGACAAAGGGATAATGTGCAGCCTGCCTGTCATCAAGCACTTCTCCTGGTCCCCTTCCTGCGACTGACATAAAGTATAACTGATAATGAGATGGCTTTGCAGTAAATGGCAACTCTAACAAACTAGCTTTAGGCAACAATTAATAGACAGAAAATTAAACTTGGACATATTAGTTATTAGTAAAAATTTCTGAAGGTTTTAGGGGTTGTTTTACAATATGATCAGATAAATTAGACTGTGAACACTGATTAAATGTATGCAGTCTTCATTCAAGGTAGTTTTAAAAAAATGACAACCACAATAATAATTTTCAGTAGGGATGCACGATATTGGGATTTTGGCCGATATCCAATATGCCGATATTTTAAAACCCATGTAGCCGATAACCGATATCGATACTGATGTTAAAGCTGGACAAAAATAAGTAGTCATTGAAAATAGCAGTTTTGTTATCTATTTCTGACACTTTGAAAAATAATATACTCAAATATATTTTCATATGCTGATATCAAATTGATTTTTAAAAACGCGGTATCGATCTATTTTACTTTCAAAATCTCCTGAAATTTAATCGTTCTGTTACAAACTCTCGTGATATTTTGCAAATTCTTGTGAGATTTTGTTAGTAAAATAGATCGATACCGCGTCAATATATCAACATATAAAATATGGCAAAATTTTGTGAATTTTCGGGGGATTTCGTAGTATAACAATGACATATAGCAATATTTCATGAGTAAAAGCATATGAAGATATTGTGATATTATAATGTATCAATATTTTTTCCCTCGTCTTTAGAAGTTTTTAAGTCTGTAAAAAAGAAGTTTTTGAGGAAGAAGAGGAAGTAGTATTTTTTTTTTGTATTTATTTGCAACCGTTTCTATTTAGTATATGTAATTGTGTTAAGAAAGCTCCATTATTGTTCATTTATAGGAATACTAAAGTAAGTGAAGTATGATTAATTCATCATTCGGGGTGGTAATTGAGGTTTGGTGCTGTATGGTTTGGCAGGACCTGATAATTCTGTAAAGAAACTCCACCTGTTAGAGTCTTTATGTATCCCTACATACATTGTAACCTGTACACATAAAATCTGTCTGTAATTTCATTTTTTTCTATGTTGCATTGCTGTCCCCCACCCCTGGTGACCTCTCTCTTCTGAAAAATGTTGTGTTTTTTTAATTAATTATTACTCTGGGTCCCTGAGCAAGACCCTTAACCCCACACTGCTCCCCGGGCGCCGCACAATGGCAGCCCACTGCTCCCCAAGGGTATGGGTTAAATGCAGAGATAAATTTCTCCAATGTGAGATCAATAAAGTTCAATTATTATTATTATTATTACTTCATATTATTATTGTATTCTCTCCTGTTTTGTGTTAGTGTTGTATATTGCAATGTATAAAAATTAGGGATGCACGATATAATCGGCCCCCTATCGGTATCGGCCTGTATCGGCCTTAAAACTGAAAAATTCACGAAATTTTGCCATATTTTTATATGTTGATATATTGACGCGGTATCGATCTATTTTACTAACAAAATCTCACAAGAATTTGCAAAATATCACGAGAGTTTGTAACAGAACGATTAAATTTCAGGAGATTTTGAAGGTAAAATAGATCGATACCGCGTTTTTAAAAATCAATTTTATATCAGCATATGAAAATATATTTGAGTATATTACTTTTCAAAGTGTCAGAAATGGATAACAAAACTGCTATTTTCAATGACTACTTATTTTTGTCCAGCTTTAACATCGGTATCGATATCGGTTCTCGGCTACATGAGTTTTAAAAATATCGGCATATCGGATATCGGCCAAAATCCCAATATCGTGCATCCCTAATAAAAATCTCATCAAAAGTATTAAAAAAAGAAGAAGAAGAAAGCTCCATTATGTGATGGAAAAATGGGAGTTTTTCAAGGTAATAGAGTTCTTCTTGAATGCCTTTAAGTACTTGCCGTTATCTCTACATCAAAAATTCTCTGGAGTGTGCAATATTATTCTTGATATCTAGATATCCAGTTAAATGTGTCGTATTGTGACAACCCTTGTAGCAAATCACCATCAGCAAAAGCAGCAGTGTGAATATCATCGGATCTTTGCTTTGCAGCTACCAGGACAAATGCCTTAAAATAACACAAGCATTTGTTGATACTGTAGGCGCAATAGACCAATAAAAATAAAATATGTACACAGAAAGGGAGCCGAGCATTGCACAAAAGCCAGCTTTGTACAGGATGTAAATAAACCTAGATATATACACCAAAACCAACGCATATGGCTGTAACTGATGAAATGACATCCTTTCTTAGAGCTGACTGGAGGTCCAGCAGAGATATTTCTACGGTATATGTGCAAGCAACTGAGTTAATGTGTTCAAAAACATCTTTTACACAGCTTGGTAGACCCATTATGAACCATAATGCTGAGTTAGTTCAAAGACTGTTTAAACCAGGCATCCCCAAACTTGGTCCTCAAGGGCTGCTGTCCTGCAGGTTTTAGAGGTTTCCATGCTTTAGCACAGCTGATTGTAATGATTGCAGTAGAGCAATAGCCTGTTAATCAGCTTTCAATTAAAATCAGCTGTGCTGGAGCAAGGAAACCTCTAAAACCTGCAGGACAGCGGCCCTTGAGGACCAAGTTTGGTGATGCCTGGTTTAAACTCTCTTGTCGTTTAGCACTGCTTAATCCCTCGCAAGGTGGATCAGTAGCCAAATATTGGTGGGTTGAGTTTAACCCCAGACTTCCAGGAATGCCCACAACAGAATCCTGTTCAAACATGCGACAGTTACTTTACCAAGTTTATAAAACGTTTCAAATGTAACATTTTAGAAAAAGAAATCATGTCAGTCCGTGACAAATGCTGTAATCACAGCCTTTATTGTATATTGAAATATGACAAACTTAAAAGGTATACCTCATTTTTTTTTATTTATCAAATTATATTATAATATATATATATTGATCCCACTTTATGTATTCACTCTGGGTATTTCTATTAATAAACCAGGTCTAATACTGCATTAAAAGTGCAAATATTGTTTTGCTCCTTTGAATTTGCACTCACGGTGGACTACAGAACATCTTTATTTCTAAATCAGTCGTATTATCACCTATATTGAAGGCTAAAAATACAAGATTTTTATTTGTTCATTTATTTCATACTTTGATTAAATTTTTGCGGCAAACAAAAAATGCTAATGTGAGATTGGAATAACTCTTTACAGGTGATTTAATAAATAACACTAAAAATAATTTCATAACTTCTAAGAAGAAAATCCATTAGTAGCAACCCCAGTTGGAACAAAATGAAAGCTAACAGATGTTTTATTTTTTCCCCCCCACAAATAAATTCAAAAAAGCAAAAGTGGAATTTAACCAGTCCCATATTTAAAAGCGTTTTAAGAGTGGACTGTTTCACAAACACCTTTGTCTGCGTTGTTGGAGTCACTTTGTCTAACCCCCAAAGTTCACCTATTCTCAAAAAGCAACAAGGTCTAAAAAAGCTAATCTAACCACATAATTAGTGTTCAATAATTTATTTGTTTTGCAAATCCAAGGAGTCGCCAGGTGCCTCTTTATCCAACAGGTTTGACAAGTATCTTAGAATAGAGAGCAACACGAGCATGCAGAAATGACACAAAGGGACCAGACACTAGTGACCTCATTTCACTGACACATGCAGGTAGAAATACAAACAGGTACTTACAGCCCGTGTCTTTGAGTCTGTTGATGGCGTTGGACAGAAGACGGACGCAGCCGAGAAAACCTGCGCCCTGCTTTTTGTGGATCTTCTTGTGGTTCCAGACACTGATTGTGATTGAGTCTGACTTTCCAATGTAACTGCAAGAGGAGCATAGGGAGGGGGGAAAAACAGGTTAAAAAAATTGTTTGCTGACAAGGTGATTTAGCAGACATTAAAAAGAAAATACATTATATTTGAAAACAATCTTTAAAGGAAAAGTTCTTCAGTTCACATGAGTTCGTTCTAAGAACATGCATTTGGATTTTCATCAACAAAATAAAGCCTTCAATTTATCTTGCACCTCTTCCTGCAGAGTCTTAAGATCTTACTAATTTGTGTGCAGAGTTTGCAAAGCCGAGGCCTGTCTCGCCGCGGTTGACGAACAGAGGAAGTCCCTGAGATGTGCTCTACCACTGACTGAGGCCTAGACGGCTCTTTCAGTAAACACACATTTCACACTACATTCAAATGCATATTCACACTTGCTGATATGAATCTAATTACAGTGTAGGAGGATGCGAACTCTAGATTACCCCCTAAAGTCAGTCTGAGGAGAGGGGTTTTCCACATAAGAGATAAAAACATATACAATTGTGGTTTAAAAAAAACTGGAGCTTTCAAACCAAAGAGATAAAATTAAAACACTTTACAGATTATCACTTAAAGTAGTCATTTCTGGTTAAGGAATAAATGGGATAATTTAGCGTCTTCCAGAACTTTTCTTTCTCTGTATAGGTTATTACATGACGTCACATTCCCTCATTATCGCATCTGTGATTAGCCAGAAAGCAGCTTTTCACTTTGCTGATCGCATGTAAGAGCACCACAGTTGTTTTTTATGTTATCAAGTTTAAGGGTGTAAAAAAAAAAAATCAGATAAAACGGTGGAGAGAAGCTTTAAAAACAGCCAAAAATCAGAGGAAGTTAAAAGGTATAGTGGAGGATGTTCTTTTTTCCGGATCGATCATCAAAATAAGTGGTCCTCTTAATTGTCAATTATTGTGGTGATGATGGGCTTGTGCACGCTCTTGCACGCATTTAATTGCCATTCCCTCTCGGGAGTGGATACAGGGTGGTGTATGTGGATTTTTTTTTTTTAGGTGAAGAAGGGACTTTTTTTTATTATTATTGTCAAAAATCCTCCACTATACCTTTAAAGTGAAAACACCTCTGCACAGATACAACACAGATTAGCTCCAATCACTTTAGCAGCGGAAAGGACAATTTAAAATGTTTAGATAAGGCGAATGTAGCTTTAACAGCTATGAAGCTACAACCAATTCGAATTAAGTGTGGTAGAATAGTAAAAATCATAGTCATTACATGTAAACACACATTTCTGTTAGAGAGAGTGTTACAGAGACACTAACGTGTCTCTGTAACACTCTCCAACTCTTTAAAAAGCCATAGTTCACCAAAAATATAAATAAAACAGTTTAAAGAAAAAAATGAAAGCCTCAATGTCGCTTGTAAAGCTGATCCTATCATATCAACATGGCGAAATTACAGAGTCACTTTCATCCAGAAATATCTTGAATTTATCCTTCAGTCATAATAATAACAGTAATACATTTTATTTGAAGGTGCCTTTCTAGATACTATAAAGATACATGAAAATAAATTAAAAGAAAAAACAAAGATCAATGATTTAGACAAAGGCAATGACAATATCAATAGGACTCAGATAAAAAGGCAGGCTTAAACTATTTATTTTGAGTTGAGATTTGAAATGGGGGAGTGAGCCATGGTCCCAACATATTAACATAGAACTAATCAAACAATTTATGTTTTATTAGCTTCTAGGGGTGGAACGGTTCACAAAATCCACGGTTCGGTTCACAGTTTCGTGGTCACGGTTTTCGGTTCGGTATATGTTGATTGTTAGCCCGACATGTTGGTAGTGTTGCTGTTAGCATAAACAAAACGTGTTGCACAATGCTTGCACACTGTTTTTATCCCCAACTTTCTTTCCGCCGTCATCATAGGTCACTCTAAATGCAAAGTGGTCCCATACAGCAGGCCTATAAAGTGCTGCTGGCGCGTCTTCCAACTCCGGTTCTTTCCCACTCTCCATACCCACACAATTCTCCAGAACAACTGATTTTTTTTTCCTGCTACACCCGGCTACGCTGCTTCGCTTCTTCTTCTTGTTTACTACTGGTGGTTGGCTTTGGTCGCAGTACCGCCACCTTCTGCTCTGGAGTGTAAACGCTTCGCCTATGAGAAAAAGGAGCAGCGCATGAACCGAACGCAACACACGTGAATCGAACCGAGACAGTCGAACCGAACGGTTCGGACGGTTTTAATAAACCGTTCCATCCCTAGCCATGGTCCTACCATATTAACATAGAACTAATCAAACAATTTATGTTTTATTAGTTTCCATTCCTGATCAAATCTGTGCTGCAATTTCTTAATTCTGAAAGAAAGTTCAAAGGCCTGCATTTTACATTTCTGTATGGTCCCCTCTATACTGACTGATGCGCTACAATCATAACAACCTTGATAAGGACATTTTTGTTGTAGTTTTGAGTTTCAAATTGACTTTCTTACTTTACGTTACAACAGCATGAAAAAACGCGGATTATAATTTTTTCCTAACCCTGTAGGAAAAAGAGTACTGTAGGTGGAAACAACCAGATTAGTTTTCCTAAATATACTACTTTCAGATTATATGGTTTATATCTTGCCAAGAAACACAAAGACAGGAAATATAAAAAACTACTATTCCAGATCTAAATCTTTTCATAATAAAAATCAGTTGGAAATCAATCCTCAAATATAGCAGTAAATTCACCCTTTCCTCAGACCTGTCTGTAAGACCCTGAGTATCAGGGACAGCAAGTAATTTCCCTCAGGACTGGATAACTATTACAAAAAAAAATGTACTCAAACAGGTCAAATATATAACTTGGATTCTAAAAAGCATTCCAAAAAATTATTGCTGATGAATATAAATATTTATTGTAACAACAATTTTTCCTTACAATTCAGTTAAAAAATATGACATTAATCCCAAAGGGACAATTCAGTACATCCATCTTTCTTCATTATTACCAGACTAAAATTAAATAAAGGATTCATATAAAGTAATAAATACATTCTTGTTTATACTGAGGCTAGGCTTGTCAACTAAGGATTCTTTTGCTTTTTCTGATGATTTGATGATTAAACTAGGACAGCAATAGAATTTAATGTTTCCTTTTCTGATGAGCTTAAGCTTCATTTGACTTTAGTCAATGTCTTATCTTTAGAGCTGAAACAATTAATTAGATTAATCCTGATTCATAGATTATTGAAATAATGGTCAATTAATTTAGTGATCGATTAATCAGAGAAGCAACTATACCATAATTGTAAAAAATTATATAAATACTGAGCATTTAAGAAAACTGTTTCATCTGTCAATATGATCTAATCAAAACTATTCAAGTGGAAACATTTTAGTTTCACCTGGTTTAATACTGTAAAAGAACATTTAAGTGGCCTTTTGCTATCGGATTATGAATCAATAAATTAAATTAAATCAGATTAAATGATTAGCAAAATAATTTTTAGTTGCAGCCCTATTTATCTTAAAGAAATATACATGCAGCTACTCAAGTTCTCGTTGGGAAAACAATTCTAGATCATACACTGGAAATATGCCACATTTCATATGTTAACATTATCTCCTCAGGATAAACTTTATCACAATGTGGAAATATGCTCGACTATTGCCGAATAATGCTGGAAGAATAAATTAATGAAGCTAAAGAGGCAGCATTGAAGCAGGACTGTAGCTTAGGGTGACCAAACGTCCGTATTTCCCGGGACATATCCGTATTTCACGTCCTGTCCCGGGCGCCCCGGGTTTTTTTTTAGAAAGTGGGGAAAGGTCCTGATTTCACTGCGCACGACGCTCCGTGTGACGTAATCCCTGAGCCGCGTCAGTGCGGGCAGCCCTGCTCTTAATCAGAAGGCTCTGTTCTGAAAACCTGGGCTGCATCCTCCAAGGAAGCGGTCTACCTAGACTGGATCCTTCGAAGTCCTTGAAAATAAGGAGGCCGGAAGAGTTTTGTCTGTAAATTCGAACAGGTCCTCCCTTCAGTGGGTTTTACCGGCGTATGCTCTGTTGCTTAGCAACCGTGAACGTTGACACACAAAGCAGGAAAGGAATGAATACCGAGGTTTTCAAAACTGTTTGTTTATTTATTTATTTTAAAAAAAGTTAAAGCGAACAAAGACTACACTCACAAGAATCCAGAGTGGAATAAAGGTTCCAACCACCGGGAGCAGGAACAAATAAAATCAAATGTAATGATAGAAACCTTAGTCAGTTAAATAACATGCTGCTGTCATTCTGCACATCTCTGATGTTGCTGCTATTTTCAAATATCCAATACTGTAAAAATGTCCATAGTTGCATATTGGTTATTTATTCTCCAGTTTTATATTGTTAAAACACTTTACAGAATTTTATTTTTTATGTTTTAACTCTTCCCTATTATGTTATTCTTATACACTTTTCTAAGGTCCACATTTGTGAGACCATTTTCAATAATCTTTCTGCTGCTGTAAATTTGCCCATTGTGGGACAATAAAGGGATTTTCTATACTATAAAAGGGTTAGAAATACATAAGTAAATCTAAACAATGTATGTATAAAAATATATCTGCAAAATCTCTAATATTCAACAACAAAAAATACTTAGTTAAGCATATTGTGCAAAACAACAATAGAAAAATTAAACTCCTATCAGATTTATAGTTCCCACTCTGCAGATCTATTAGAATCTGTCCTTAAATTCCAGCCAAACCCATTTACACAGTAACAGATAAAAACCTTTAGATAAATCAAACATTACCGCCACATATCTGACTCTATAACCATTAAAACAACTATTTTCATTCATTTCAGACGGAACTATTCACAGAGTTGTATTATATTAAACTGAACTTCAAAATTTCACCACTGTTCTGCGCCACGTAACATTTCCTCTGATCACGGAGCAATTCCCGATGATGAGACATTTGTTCTTTCAAGCAACCCCCCCCCGCTCCAAGGTGTCCTGGTTTTCCCAAATGAAAATATGGTCACCCTACTGTAGCTGAGAGAGTCGAATTGTTGACCACTACATTCATTTCAAACCTGAGAGACCATTTTTAGGAAAAGAAAGTTGTGAAATCTATCTGCCACCAATTTGTTCAACCATGTGAAATTTATCTTTAGTTTACATGAAGCTGTTCTGTGAAGACCTAGAAGCAGACCAGACAGCTCCGTGGAATCTGTTCAAGCAGGGGCTGATTATAAAATATTAGGGCTGCAACTAACGATTATATCGCCAATCGATTAATATGTCGATTATTTTTTCGATTATTCGATTAATAATCAGACAGACAAAAGTTCCTTAAAGAAGATCTTTTATGGAATTAAACCAGGTGAACCTAAATTGTTTCCACTTGAGAAGTTCTGGATAGAACATATACGTTTTTTTGATCTTAAATGCAAAATGTTGACTTTTTTTTTATTTATTTATTTTTTTTACACTTTTTAATCTACTTTAATACTTTTACTTTAATTAATTTTTTTAAATTATACTTTTTACTTTTTTTCTAAGTGGGTCGCTCTGTCCACTAAAGGCATGTTTCACAGTCTCTAGACTCCAGTTAATGACAAATTAATTTCTGAATTAGTTGACAATTATTTCACTCATCAATTAATCACGAATAATCTGATTAATTGTTTAAGCCCTTTAAAACACTATCTTTAAATTCAAACATCCCTTCCAGCACCGTTCAGTCAGTGATATGTGAATGAAAAGGAAAACAAAAGGATGGATCATCCGCATATAACCATTATTCTGCTCATTTGTCCTGGTATGTCCTATTAAATCCATATTTCATAAAATACCATGTTTATTCTCAGAATGTCTCCACAATAGAAAAGCCTTTATAAGAAGGAAGAGGCAACAACAAAACATGAACAATTATGCTGAAAATTCTATAAAATAAGTAAAACAATGACATCTACAATAAAAACAAGATAATACCATTTATATCCAATCAGATTTAAAATAGTAGCCTTTTCTCCACATGAAACATTGATATACTTTACAGAGTTGTTTTTCCCCTAAACAAATATTTAAAAAAGAAAAGAAAAAAAAAATCATACTGCATATACATATTTGCAGGGTATTCATAATACAGCGAAGGCCATAAGTATCTGTGGCTTGTGGAAAAGGATTCCACCCCAAAAAGCTGGAGGTTGCTGATGGGGGTGTGGTGAGGAGGCAATCTGCCAAGCCCACACTCCCATCTGCTTTCTGTGGCATGTTAGCCATTTCCTGAACCAGAGGAAAAGGCCAAGGGTCGCTTGTGGGGAAAGCGAGAGGGTGGGGAGTTAAGGGGGGGGGGGTGGAATTGATAATTATGTAAAGCGGGTAGAGATCTGAGCTTGAAAGAAACATTTTAAAATGTCAGAGTGGTTTTAAAAAGTAAACTTAAAACAGCATAAACATCTACAATCAATATGAAGTCGTAAGCACATGGCTATATTTACGTAACTATGACTCCGTCAGCAGGGTTTTAGCTCATCTCATATATAAATACATTTGTTTTTTTTGTTTTTTTTTTGGCTCTCACAACCAGTGTGCTGGTTCCCATACATTTTTCAGGATGTTTTTACATTTCCCATCGGAGTTTTAACTATTTTCTGTACATTTAAATACACTATATTAACTTTGAACTGCCTTAAGTAGTAGTTTGGTCTGATCTGTAAGCTCCACAATATTGGAAGATACACTATACAACAAATAGTGTGGTCAATTTCCACATTAAAATGAAGTAACCTAACCTACTCCAAGAACTGAAGCTAAAGAAAGAAGGTAAAATACCCCCCCTTATATTTATTAATGATGGTACATTTAGTCTGTAGGTAAAAAATAAAATACTTCTTGGTTAAAAGCAATAAACTCAAGATAAAGAAAATTGGTTGAACATAGATAAAACATAAATAAAGTGAATATTTCTGCACTTATAAGACTTGACACAACACCTGTCCAATAAATTTATTTTAAAGACTATAAAGACTTGCAGAAAAAACTGTTAAGAAATAAATCTTATGAAGGATATTGATCATTTGAGTACAAAATACCAACACCAGAATAATTATAGCTCCTACCAAACATTTTCCGCAAATTAATCTCCATCAAAACTTGAAGGAATTTGTGTTTTTTAGACATAAAAAAGTGCCATACGTGCATGACCAGGTCATTTTCTCTCGCAAATACAATAAGTCTCATGCGAGATCAGAGGAAAGGAATGTCTAAAATGTCACTCCACAGGATGTTGTTCTGTCACGTAAAACAGCTCACCAGGTTTATAGAAGGGCGTTTCTTTGACACAGAAAGGTGGCGTCCAAGTTTTAATTCCTCAGACACTGGTCAGAGGACAGCCGTACATTTTTAATTTAATAGTAACCTCTAAGTTTTGCAGTTTAAGAGGGTAAAAAAAAAAAATTCAAACGTTATAACATTGTTCTAGCCAATGTTGCTATAGTTGACATAGAAGGGGAAGATGAAAGAGATGCTTTAAGAAATAACCAACCCGAATATGACATTTTTATGCTCTTCAGACCGAAGTCGGTGACTAGCATCTCAGACTCTCTATTAATAATTCAGTGAAATCACAACACAAGACACAGCTACATGGCTCTGCTTAATGAGCAGAGCCTTATTTACCTGCCACAGTTAAATAGAGGTAAACAGTTTTACTTTACAATGCTTTTACGCAGTTGAGGAATCAAATTCATGACACATTCTTGAAAAGCTACAATTTTCAGTATCATACTCTTACTAGGGGTGGAACGGTTCACAAAATCCACGGTTTGGTTCGGTTAACGGTTCCGTGGTCACGGTTTTCAGTTTGGTTCGGTATATGTTGATTGATACACCGAAATCCCATAAAAATTTATGAAATTAATGAAAAAAATCCAAAAAAATTAATGTATTGTAATTATTTTTAATGATCGGCGGAAACCCTGGATCATTTCTGCATGTTTTGCTGCTTTGAATTTAATCATCTCGTGCATGCCCTCTACGATCTCCAAGGAACTCAGAGCGGAGTGGACGGGGGCGGAGGCTGTAGGCTTTGCTTTGTGCAGGCGGTCTGGAGCGCAGCGGGGCAGAGCGGAGCGCTGACGGAGTATGTGGGACTGACATGTTGGTCATGTTGCTGTTAGCATAAACAAAACGCGTTGCACAATGCTTGCAAACTGTTAAACTTTTATCCACAACTTTCTTTCCGCCATCATCGTAGGTCACTCTAAATGCAAAGTGGTCCCATACAGCAGATCTATAAAGTGCTGCTGGCGCGTCTTCCAACTCCTGTTCTTTCCCACTCGCCATACCCACACAATTCTCCACAACAACTGATTTTTTTTCCCTGCTACACCCGGCTACGCTGCTTTGCTTCTTCTTCTTGTTTACTACTGGTGGTTGGCTTTGGTCGCAGTACCGCCACCTTCTGCTCTGGAGTGTAAACACTTCGCCTATGAGAAAAAGGAGCCGCGCATGAACCGAACGCAACACAAGCAAATCGAACCGAGACAGTCGAACCGAACGGTTCGGACGGTTTTCATGAACCGTTCCATCCCTAACTCTTACAATTAAATACATCCTTGACAGGGAATATACCATATTTTCCGGACTATAGAGCACACCTCAGTACACCCCAGTCTCTTTAATACGGCAAATAAATTTCAAAATGTGTGAATTCGGAACATTTGTTCTCCTTTGTGCATGCTGCTAGCATTTTCTTGGGCTAAATGAAAATTAGCTTCTTGGTCTTTCATTTCCAACTTTGGCTTGCCCTTCTGGGGGTTAGGCAAAATCAATAGAAAAGCTGCACCTTCTTATAAGCTGCATGGTTCAAAGCGTGGGAAAAAAATAGCAGCTTATAGTCTGGAAAATACGGTACATAGATTAGATTGCTCTTAAAGTCATGCTAGCTGCCCTAATTGCTGACAGAAGATGCTAAAAACTGTTTAAACTGATCTTACTGTGGTAAACCTGGCCTTTTTTAATAAAAGGGATGAGAGAGTAATTTTGAACTGTATAAAATTTAACCACCGGATAATGTTATTTCTAATTGAATTAAACTTTCAACAACCAGAAAGGCTCCTATATAGTTAGAATAAATGATTTAAAAATTGATAACATGACCATGATTAAAATATATTAAAGATTAAACAGTTGTCTTAAAATTATATCAAGAAATGTTCTTTCCATTAAACGGTATATATGCATCTTCAGATAAACACAAAAATTACAGAAGTTTGTCAGCAAAAATTTGTTTTGTAAAGGTATAAGAAAAAATACTCCATTATTCTTATTAGTGTTGTATTGTATTATTTCTATGTAATTGTAGAAACTTCTTTTTTATTTGCATTACTTGGACAGAAGGAACTAATCTGGCAGGTCTATCTCTAGTTTTGTGTTAATGTTTCATTTAATGTTTGCATATTGATGAAAAATGAAACAAACAACAAAAAAAATATTTTAAGCAGACACCCAAATATAGATTCTAGAAAAAAGTAAACACAGCATCAAATCTACATCTTTTTTAAAGTACTTACAGATCATAGTGCTGATTCCACTTTGGATCAAGAGTATTTCTCACAGTATCTGTTGAGTGGCATTGTCCAGAACCGTCCACTACCACTTTAGCGAAAGGATCTGGCAAACCTGCAAAGCACAATAAAACGGTTTTATTTAATGAGCAAACAAAGTTATTAAATTATCCTTTCAGGCTTTTAAAAGAGGAGAAGAACATGAATCATAATACAAACCTTTCCCACAATGTCTATTTGATGAAAACAAAATAGAAAGATGAGTTAAAGAGAATCTAGATTTTTTTTTTTTTTTTTAAACCATCCTGCTCCTTTTGACTGGTGGCATGAAAAACTTAAATCCTTGTGCAGAAAAGCTTCTAACGGCTCAGTTTTTACCTTGTAATTATTGATCTGACTGTAGATATGTGCATGTTGATTCTGGAGAGCCGTTTCCTGGCTTATCAAGATCAACTCTCATCTGCCTTATTTGAATGGCACGCTCTCTATTATCATGTCTTATCCATTCTGAAGTATGAGGAATGGCCATACGTGTCACGTCACATAAATTAGCAATGGAAACAGGAAGTCATAGATAAGTAAAAGTTCTCTGTCTAACCTAAAAGCCAGAAGAAAAAGTGACACAGTCATCAAAATAAGCTCAGTTTACAGCTATCTTTTAGAGAAATCTGTCTCACTATGGTTAGTTTGACTTAAAACATATTTCTAATAGTGGGATTATTTTCCCACCTTTATATAAACATACTTAGTTTTTCTTCCCCTGTAGTATTTCCTAATATAAGGGTCTGATTTAAAGTAAAAACCTTATGTCATTTTAGAGAGAGATGATTCAAACTTTCAGTTTCTAAAAGAGCATGTTCTCACATGTATTGTTTTTGTTGTGGGAAGAATTTACACCGCTAAGATACTACTACTATATGTGGAAATGAAAAACCTGTTTAGCTTGAAACATGATAATACAGTCTATTTTATGGTCTGATGGTACATGAATGCATAGGTAGCTGGGGGACAAGTACGTCTCACATGATAAACTTGTCTAGCTCATTATAAGAACTGGAAATACCCTACATCTATGAGTCTATGTTGTATGGTTAAACCCCAACAAACCAAACTCGTGTTCTCGGAGACAACCGGCTTAATAACTTAGTGACAAAGATGGTTTCAGCAGTAAGAAAAATAATTATACAAAGAGGCAATTCTGAAAATATTCAGGATTTAAAATATAATCCTTAATGACAAACGTGTGACAAAACAGACTCCAAATGTTTTATGTTGATGCCCTCCTCCAATAAGGTTTAAATACGCAACAAATTTGCCTACATTTGTATTTTAAGCACCTTTTTGAGATATTTAAATACTCAAAAACTGTTAGTTAAACCCCTCAAACAAAATATTAATCTAAAAGGCAAAGCAAAAGAAAGGGATTGAAATAAAAAAAAAATATTTTTACTTACGAAAGAAGTCTTTCTTGGCCAGGTTCTTTGCACAGAGGACTAGGAAATAAAAAAGAAATAGACAAATGTTAACGTGAGAAGCAATATAATACCCACACATCAGACACGCATCAAAAGGAAAATAGAGACGTCCTTAACTGATGCCAGGTAGAGTCTCAATTAGGGTTTTATCAAATGACCACCATCAGAGTCCCAGATGAAACTTAACTACCAACATCTGCTGTTGGTCTACTGTCTGCCATTTCATCAGCTGAAAGCTATTGGCTTGTGTAGCACAGAGCTAATTGGTTTTGTTTGTTTTTGTTAGTCACAGCCTGTTTTAGTTTGCACAGCTTATCAAACCAGATTAGAAGTTTGCTCATTATTTGTTTGAAGGCTCCTCTAGCTGCCATTACATTACAAGTAAAGCTGCAAGTTAATAAAGCATGACAATTGTTTTTTTGTTTTGTTTTTTATCCGTCTGTACAAGATAGCTATATGTGGTTTATTTATGATGTGGGCCCACCCTTACAGCTATAACAGCCTCACCTATTTTAGGAAGGCTTTCAACAAGGCTTAGGATAATGCTTATGTGAATTTCTTACAATTCTTTAAGGCTTGGCTTGAAGTCTTAAGTTTAATTCATCCTAAAAGGTGGAGATCAGGGCTATGAGTACGAAACTCTAGGGCTGGGCTATATGGACCAAAAATAACATTGCAACATGTTTTTATCTGAATGGAGGGAGGCGGAGCAATAGAAAGCTTAGCACAGACAAACCCTGAAGAGAAAGAAAAATACAGGTCTCAAGAATAATTAGAACACAAAAAGCATATATATATATATATATATATATATATATATATATATATATATATATATATATATATATATATATATATATATATATATATATATATATATATATACAGGTGCTGGTCATAAAATTAGAATATCATGAAAAAGTAGATTGATTTCAGTAATTCCATTTAAAAAGTGAAACTTGTATATTATATTCATACATTACATCCAAACTCATATATTTCAGATGTTTATTTTGTTTAATTTTGATGATTACAAATGACAACAAATGAAAATCTCAAATTCATCATATCAGAAAATTAGAATATTACTGAAGACCAATAAAAACAAAGGATTTATAGAAATGTTGGCCAACTGAAAAGTATGAACATGAAAAGTATGAGCATGTACAGCACTCAGTATTTAGTTGGGCCTCCTTTGGCCTGTATTACTGCAGCAATGCGGCGTGGCATGGAGTCGATCAGTCTGTGGCACTGCTCAGGTGTTATGATAGCCCAGGTTGCTCTAATAGTGGCTTTTAGCTCTTCTGAATTGTTGGGTCTGGTGTATTGCATCTTCTTCTTCACAATACCCCATAGATTTTCTATGGGGTTAAGGTCAGGAGAGTTTGCTGGCCAATTAAGAACAGGGATACCATGGTCCTTCAACCAGGTACTGGTAGCTTTGGCACTGTGTGCAGGTGCCAAGTCCTGTTGGAAAATGAAATCTGCATCTCCAAAAAGTTGGTCAGCTGCAGGAAGCATGAAGTGCTCTAAAACTTCCTGGTATGTGGCTGCGTTGACCCTGGACCTCAGAAAACACAATGGACCAACACCAGCAGATGACATGGCACCCCAAACCATCACTGACTGTGGAAACTTTACACTGGACTTCAAGCAACGTGGATGAAGTGCCTCTCTTCTTTTCCTCCAGACTCTGGGACCTTGATTTCCAAAGGAAATGCAAAATTTACTTTCATCAGAGAACATGACTTTGGACCACTCACCAGCAGTCCAGTCCTGTTTCTCTTCAGCCCAGGCAAGACGCTTCTGACGCTGTCTGTGGTTCAAGAGTGGCTTGACACAAGGAATGCGACAGCAGAAACCCATGTCTTTCATACGTCTGTGTGTGGTGGTTCTTGAAGCACTCACTCCAGCTGCAGTCCACTCTTGGTGAATCTCCCCCACATTTTTGAATGGGTTTTGTTTCACAATCCTCTCCAGGGTCCGGTTATCTCTCTTGCTTGTACACTTTTTTCGACCACATCTTTTCCTTCCCTTCGCCTCTCTATTAATGTGCTTGGACACTGAGCTCTGTGAACAGCCAGCCTCTTTAGCGATGACCTTTTGTGTCTTGCCCTCCTTGTGCAAGGTGTCGATGGTCGTCTTTTGGACAACTGTCAAGTCAGCAGTCTTCCCCATGATTGTGTAGCCTATAGAACTAGACTGAAAGACCATTTAAAGGCTTTTGCAGGTGGTTTGAGTTAATTAGCTGATTAGAGTGTGGCACCAGGGGCCATCAATTTTGAACCTTTTCACAATATTCTAATTTTCTGATATGATGAATTTGAGATTTTCATTTGTTGTCATTTGTAATCATCAAAATTAAACAAAATAAACATCTGAAATATATGAGTTTGTATGTAATGTATGAATATAATATACAAGTTTCACTTTTTAAATGGAATTACTGAAATCAATCTACTTTTTCACGATATTCTAATTTTATGACCAGCACCTGTATATATATATATATAGGGATTATATCAGAGAGAGAGACAGACAGAGACCCATCTTGTATCTCCTTTTAAAAACATCTAAATAGATAAACAGATATGTTGCCCAAAACTACCTAAAAAAAAAATAAAAATACAAAAATAAAATACAAAATTAAAAAATATTAAAAAATAAATAAAATAAACTACCTAACAAACTCGGTTATCAAAAAGTTTATAAAAGGGATATACAATATTATGGGTCAATATTAGCATTAAAGCTGCATACAGGACATTGGCGATTCCATTGATTTAATCCATCAATGCAAAAGGAAACCTAAAAAAAGGTGAGGATTATGGAGTCCGCCACAGAGGAGATGCCAAATTAAAATATCAGAGGTGTTTACTCTTTAAAAAAATTAACATAAATCAAATTTTCCTGAGATAAGTGAATTATTTTGAACAATTAGATAAGACAATCTCCAAATTTGATAAGATTTATTTGTACAATAAGAAAAAAATCTACTCCGTTCATCTTATTCCACAGGCAAATCTAATCATCTTAAAGGACAGCATACTAATTCCAATGGCAAATCATATTTACTTGTTAAAATTAAACATAAACACTTATTTTAAGAAACTTTTACTGAATCTTAGATCAGTTTTTGCAGTGTATATTTAAATACTAAGAAACATATAGACAAACTGCTATTTGCAATGAATGCTCTGAACAGGAGTGAGAAGTGTCTGTGTATAGGTTTAGGTGGAAAATGATTGTTAATCAGCTAGTTGAGTTATAAACTACCAGCATATAGGATGTCCGTTCATAATGACCTTGCCATGCAATGAAATGTATTTGACAACTTATCTAAAATTACAAATTATACTCTGTTCATGCAGAAAGATTCATCAGCTTTCAATAAAGAAAACAAAATCACCTTAAGATATGTAATTTTTCTCTTCAGACAGCATTTCGATATATATATCAAAACACCCTCTTCACTTTACTGGCTCAATCACTCACTTTAAAACAAAATGTGGATTTCAGTGAAATGGTTCTGCTACGTCTCTTTTAAAGGTTAGAGGAGTTTCTTTGTCTAAAATATTGATTAGACAAGCATTCCTTCCTGTACGAAGCAAATCCACAGAGGGTTCGTTACACTGACAGCATACAATAGCTTTCAACTAAGAGAGGAACAAGACGAGAGCATAGCTGAGAACAACGCCTGTTTCATCCAATCTCCCTCAGACTATTGCAGTCTTTATTTCTTCCTTTAATGCTCTCTAGTGTGTTGTAATCATTTGGCTACCTGCAGAACACTGATTGTTTCTTGGATCCGTGCTACAGACTTTAAACCTAAAAGGAAGACAAATTAGGTCACACATGATCATTAGAATAATCCAGTCCAGGTCTGACTCTCTCAAGTACTTTGGGTGTTTTTAAGCAAAGTCCCATCCAAGGTCGCGGTAGTGCAAGAAAAGAACGGAAAAACCTTTCTAGATTCTAAACTACTCATTTTAATACAGCTGTGGTGATGTATTAAAAACGACAAATCTACTGCATCCATCTAACAACGGATAAGCAAACCTAAGGGACAACGACTACCGACAGAATAATAAGAGGGGAACATTCTCCCCTAATATCCGATTACATTTACTCGCTCATCTGAATGAGCACCAATCATTATCTTATCTTATCAAGAAAATGATGCCGCCAAAGCAAAAGGCACGCTTGCTTGCCAAATCAGAAAGAGACAGAAAGACCGTCCAACGGGAAAAATGGACATCATGTTACATGGACAGTAATCTTGGCAGATCATCTGTGCAAAGTAAGTCCAGAAGATAAGTTAAAAAATAAAGTTTAAATACATCATTATCAGATCTTTAATGCTTTTGAAGAAGCTTGTTTCATTGAAAAACAAATATAAAAAATACTAGAAGTACGTGATTGTGCAAATAAATGAAGCTAAATTAAGATGAGAACAATATTTTAAGCATTGAATAAAATCTTCTTAATGATGTATGGATTGTTTTTTTTTATTTTTAACTTGTATTTAAATATCAGTTTATTTAACATATTTACAGAAACAAGTTAAGAGAACATATCAATTTTAAGTGTTTTGCCAACACATTTATTTAACCCTGAAGAACTGTGGTATTTATTTTCCCATGATTCCAGCAAAAACTATACAAAGCGATTAAAAAAAGTTTGTCAGATACACAATCATACAATGTTTAATAAAATGTTGTTTAACTGCATTCAATTGAATAAAAATATCTATACCTAGATTAAAAAGAAAATATTATGACAGTCCTTACCAGTAAGGTTTAATCCTACTGTCGCTGCTATTTTGGTTACAAAGATTTAGGTTAGGAGTGAGAGATTTTGCAAAAAATCTAAATTGCAATATTTTTTCTGAAAAGAAATCGTGTTTGCCTTTTTATCTTGATATTCCTCTGTATTAACCACAAGCACATATATTGGTTTGGCTCCAGGGTTTCATTACTGTTATGGCCTTGGATGCATTGTTGTTAAGAGTAGGGCTG